AATCTTTAACACAGCTATCGAAGATTGTTGTTGCTTACCTGGAAGTCCGTTCCCTGAGGTGAATTCGTGAGGGAAAACCTCGGTACCGACACGATTTATGGCGGCTGTGAAGCAATGATTCGCTATGGCTGCACAACGGGCTTCGATTCCCCACAAAGGCTCACTGAAATCAAATCGTACGAATAACTACCTCCATATGATGCACTTTTCTCTCCAAAATCATTTAGTCTTTAGAGTAATCTTGCGTGTATTTTACAAGCCTTTTTCAAAGCCTCGAATTCTCCCTGTAAATTTTCAGGTGGAATTCCTTTATATGGCTTGCAGAAAGGAGAACAATCTTCAGCAGACTCTTTTGTCAGCGCTTATAAGCCCTGCTTTACTCAGCCTTCTTCCAGTTGGAGAAAACTAGAGAGGCACAGAGAAGATGTCCATCATACCTCAGAGCACCAACAGTGGCAGAAGGATTGAAGATGATTTCGGCGCCGTTCAGCCCATACATCATCCAGTTTTGAGGATGATGGCGTCCGTAGCAGATATTAACGGCGATCTTTCCTATAACTTGCCCGTATAAGAGGAATGTCGTCAAGGTTTGGTCATTGTGCCATCGTCGATTTAAACTCAAACTGTTAGCCAAGACGTGCTCATCAATCATTATGGAGTCAACCGCTTACCGAAGACTGTCTGGAAAACTGGATGACCAAGTGTCGATTCCATGTAGTAGGTTGACTGAAACATTCTCGTACAGTGAGTGGATTGATTCATTGCTTTACTTAGTACTGAGGGTTTGCAGCCTCCATAATTTTAGAAAAGGTTGTTCAAGAAACCATCAGTAGTAAGGAAAATTGAGCATCTTCCAGCACGTAGGTCACTGCAAAAATTCAAAGACACACCCGCATTAGACCACTGGAGTAATTCTATCGGTGGATCTGTAGGATAAAGCTACTTTCGAAAGTCGCCATGCGCCTAGGGCTTTTTCAGTGCTCCCATTAGGGAGCTATTAGTAGTACTGCTACAATACCGCTACTAATTTTTGTTCAATCGACGGTTTGCGACGGTCGGAAACCGTCGCAAACCGTCGGCTCGCCATAACTCTTTAAAAAATGGTTCGCTCGACCTGCAGTTTATACCATCTGATAGCTCTGCTCGAGATCTACAAGATGGTTAAATTCAATTTCTGAAAGAGCTCCATCTAGGATTGCGCCATGCACTCGACCTCCATCCCGAGAAGTAATGAATATACTTTGTATGTGATGCGCATATAAGTCCTCCTATGCAGCCTGATCATCCCACAGAAACATGGATCTCAACACCCTCAGAATACGCCACGTACCCAACCGGTCCACCATATGGTGAGATTGAATGAATGTTTTTTTTTCGAATTTCACGATCTTTAATTCGTTCTAGAGCGCTAATTGGCTAACCGTGCGCTGATCAACCCATTCTTCCACTCCAAATGAGAATCTTCGAACAGTTTCCAGCAGTAGTAGTAGACCTATTATGTGACATTCCCCACATTTAGAGGAGATGATTTGCGGAAACCTGAGAAGATAGCCAGGAATCTCTCCACGACGTAGACTCCGGTCACTTGTCTGTAGGAAAGAGGTAGAATATTTGGTCACGGGTAAGCGCTCCGTCCGTGGTGTGGCCCCAAACATCACTCTCCGTCATGCCCTAAAATAAAAATCAGATTTTTTGCATTTCCAGATGAACTCGCAGACCTGAGATGTGCCCCATTGGATTCCCCGTGAAAAATGCTATCGAATGATATACATTACTCCTCCCAGTTGAAACTTTGGTTTTTCACCGTTTTCAGCCTTCCCCTATTGCCAATTGCGCATCATTATTCCACTATTACTATCCCAAAATCTCAAAGTTTCATTTTTCGTCGAAACTTTGCCTATTGGGGTAATTCGATGCCCTGATTACGAATATGGCAAATTGACATTCATTCTCGTAGTGTGGCCCCAAACATCACACCTCGCCCCATTTTTTGCGACATGTTCCATGTTTAGAGCAGATGTTATGTAGAAAGCTGTGAAGGCAGCGACGAATTTCCTTTACTGTCGTAGACTACGGTCACTTGTCTGTAGGAATTACATAGAAACCTTGGTGGCAGGTGAGTCTTCCTTCCGTAGTGTGACCCCAAACATCACACCTCGTCATGCCCTTGCGATATGATCAGATTTTTTTTGGTTCTCCAGATGAACATAGAAGACTGAGATGTGCACCATTCAATTCCCCATAAAAATACTGTCGAACGGTATACAACTCACTTTTTGGAGAACATCTAGTTTACCTGCCACTAGATCCATTTTGTGACATTTCCCAATTTTCGAAGGGATGTTTTGAGGAAATTCGAGAAGGGAGGGACGAACTCTCTTCCCTATCGTAGAGTAAGTTTACTTGTATGTTGGAAAAAGATGATACACTCGGGCTTGAGCGAGTGTTTCTTCCCTGGTGTGGCCTCAAACATCGCTCTCCGTCATGCCCTGAAATAAAAACCAGATTTTTTGGTCTTCCAGGTGGCTCTACGGAGCTGTGGTGTACACCATTCGATTCTCCATGCAAAATGCTATCGAACGATATACATCTCAGTTCCCACTTGAAACTTTCGTTTTTCACCGTTTTCGCCTTTTCCTTATCGCCGATCGCCTTCCTCAGCCCTGGCCACCCACGTGCTATTCACGTGCGCGGTGCGTGGTGACTTTCCCACGCACTTTCGACACGCATAGCGGTGTATCGATCGGGCTGCCCGCCAGCTACCGAGAAAGGCCATCGGCTGTCACGTGAGCTCTCACGCTCCGCGCACGTGAATAGCACGTGGGTGGCCAGGGCTGAGGAAGGCGATCGGCGATAAGGAAAAGGCCGAAAACGGTGAAAAACGAAAGTTTCAAGTGGGAACTGAGATGTATATCGTTCGATAGCATTTTGCATGGAGAATCGAATGGTGTACACCACAGCTCCGTAGAGCCACCTGGAAGACCAAAAAATCTGGTTTTTATTTCAGGGCATGACGGAGAGCGATGTTTGAGGCCACACCAGGGAAGAAACACTCGCTCAAGCCCGAGTGTATCATCTTTTTCCAACATACAAGTAAACTTACTCTACGATAGGGAAGAGAGTTCGTCCCTCCCTTCTCGAATTCCCTCAAAACATCCCTTCGAAAATTGCGAAATGTCACAAAATGGATCTAGTGGCAGGTAAACTAGATGTTCTCCAAAAAGTGAGTTGTATACCCGTTCGACAGTATTTGTTATGGGAGAATTGAATGGTGCACATCTCAGTCTTCTATGTTCATCTGGAGAACCAAAAAAAATCTGATCATATCGCAAGGGCATGACGAGGTGTGATGTTTGGGGTCGCACTACGGAAGGAAGACTCACCTGCCACCAAGGTTTCTATGTAATTCCTACAGACAAGTGACCGTAGTCTACGACAGTAAAGGAAATTCGTCGCTGCCTTCACAGCTTTCTACATAACATCTGCTCTAAACATGGAACATGTCGCAAAAAATGGGGCGAGGTGTGATGTTTGGGGCCACACTACGAGAATGAATGTCATATTCGTAATCAGGGCATCGAATTACCCCAATAGGCAAAGTTTCGACGAAAAATGAAACTTTGAGATTTTGGGATAGTAATAGTGGAATAATGATGCGCAATTGGCAATAGGGGAAGGCTGAAAACGGTGAAAAACCAAAGTTTCAACTGGGAGGAGTAATGTATATCATTCGATAGCATTTTTCACGGGGAATCCAATGGGGCACATCTCAGGTCTGCGAGTTCATCTGGAAATGCAAAAAATCTGATTTTTATTTTAGGGCATGACGGAGAGTGATGTTTGGGGCCACACCACGGACGGAGCGCTTACCCGTGACCAAATATTCTACCTCTTTCCTACAGACAAGTGACCGGAGTCCACGTCGGTGGAGAGAATTTCTCGCTAAATCGCACGTGGCGCCAAGGGCTGGGAGGACGATCGGCAATGGGGAGCAAAAAAGTGAGAAAAACAAAGTTTTGTGTGAAACCTGAGTTGTACACCATTCGGTAGTATTTTTCATGGGAAATCGAACGGTGCACCCCTCAGCTCTGTAGAGTCATCTGGAAGAGCAAAAACTCTGATTTTCATTTTAGGGCATGACGGAGAGTGATGTTTGGGGCCACACCACGGACGGAGCGCTTACCCGTGACCAAATATTCTACATCAATCTTACAGAGAAGTAACTGGAGTCTACGTCTGTGGAGAGATTCCTGGCTATCTTCTCAGGTTTCCGCAAATCATCTCCTCTAAATGTGGGGAATGTCACATAATAGGTCTACTACTACTGCTGGAAACTGTTCGAAGATTCTCATTTGGAGTGGAAGAATGGGTTGATCAGCGCACGGTTAGCCAATTAGCGCTCTAGAACGAATTAAAGATCGTGAAATTCGAAAAAAAAACATTCATTCAATCTCACCATGGTGGACCGGTTGGGTACGTGGCGTATTCTGAGGGTGTTGAGATCCATGTTTCTGTGGGATGATCAGGCTGCATAGGAGGACTTATATGCGCATCACATACAAAGTATATTCATTACTTCTCGGGATGGAGGTCGAGTGCATGGCGCAATCCTAGATGGAGCTCTTTCAGAAATTGAATTTAACCATCTTGTAGATCTCGAGCAGAGCTATCAGATGGTATAAACTGCAGGTCGAGCGAACCATTTTTTAAAGAGTTATGGCGAGCCGACGGTTTGCGACGGTTTCCGACCGTCGCAAACCGTCGATTGAACAAAAATTAGTAGCGGTATTGTACCAACCGCTATGTAGCGCGAGTTCTATCGTGTTGGTGTCGTACGCTGCGCTTTCGCGTATTTCGCCTTTCTTGTGCGCTCTGTATTCCTCCGTTGTCGTTAACTTATCGAAGTTATAGAAGATTTCACCCGTGGTTCTAGTAATTTCCGTCTAGGGTTTCTTTGGTTCCCTTTTTCAGTTTCGGTTCAATGACGCACCTCCACTTTCATAGCTGAGCGCTTTTACACATCAATTTTACCTTGAGACGTGCCTTTGTGAAATGCCGGCAACTACAATGGACTGACTTTGAGCAGATTGTTCAAATGCATGGCACATTCTGTACTCTTTTCTCTTTTATACTCACTGCTAATTCGAAAAATTAAAAAATAATTATAAAAAAAGACGAACCTCATTGAAATCGCCAACTCTGGGGATGTGATTCTTTCGTGTTTTGCCGATGATTTTACCTGTTTGAGAATAATAACTGCCGCATTCAAATGACATCATCTTTTGACTCGTCTCTTTCCAAAATCGGATGTGAATGATCACCATTGAGGCCGATTCTGTCAGACAACTGGAGGAAAACGATATGGATTGCTGTTTAATTCTTGCTTTTTTTTCAACGTGATGCAGAAATAGTGAAAGCCCCTAGGAAGATAACTCAATTGACTATTCCAACAAAGCCGCTGAAAATTCGGACTGAAAAGCACGGATTTCCGCTAAATTCTTTGAGAAACAGGAGGCACGCAGCCACTTTTTGCAGCCTTCGCACGCACTAATCCATCATCCCCATGTTCTCGTTCACCTATAAGCGATGCGATTTTCTCAGGCATCATAGAACGAGGTAAGGGCAGCATGTATCCATGAAAAAAACTGCGCGTGGCACCTTCTCACTCCCTCTCACATCACGACTGACTTCCAACGTTTCACTGTGAAAAGGATTGGTATGCCATATGTTTAAGCACTTGCCCATTGAATCCGGCAGCATCGTGATTGCAATGCAGACTTAATGTTAGCATCATACGATACGGCATCAAAACTAGCACTAAGCATGTGACATTGATTTTTTCGAGACCATCACCTTGAATTACCGTTATTCTACAGAATCAGAAGCTCATCTGGTGATGGCTGGAAAAGTCTGCGTCGGACTTTTTGTGCTATTGATTAATTCACACGTAGGTATGGTGCCAGATCTGCATTGCAGACATATCACTCCTCACTGTACAAGCGCGCCCGCGCTCTACGAGGGTACAGCGCGGGCACACTTGTACAGTAGCGGACAAAAGTGTTCACCAAAATGGTTTTCGCTCACTATTTTTCACACGAAGAAGATACAGTGACATGGAATCGTATCGGATAATGATATGCTACTTTCTGGTGTTTTAAATCCTTCAAATCTTGAAACTTCACGACATTCAGAAGATGAAGTCTTTGTATCTTCTGCAAGACAACAAAGAAACGAAGCTTTGCTGTGAACATTTTGACCGTAGCATCTTATAGACTGGCATATTGTATAGTAGACCCTGCCGCAGAAATATTTTTATTCAAGGTCCATACCACGATTAATTGATTAGACTATTCGCTCCTGTGACTAAAGCACATAGAAACCTAACTGCAGCAGTAGTGACACTTTCGGTGCTCAAAATACGCAGAAAGTGGCTCATCGCCTGGATCAATCTAACTCCGAGCTTTACGCATGTGAATCGCTGCGAATTCGCTATTGTTTGCGTCTGGCTCGTCCCCGTGCTCTCTAAACTCGGCGCCAACTGTTGTGCGTCCCGTAGTGGTGTAGTAAGCCCACGTCTCGTAGACCGATCCTTCTCGAAAAATGAAGCCTTTTCATTTTCAGACAGCTTCTTTTCCCTTTAGTTGATTTGCGGCTTCCGTTTTGTACACTACTGAATCCATATGGATGGCGGTTCCTTAGGTCCAATGAAGAAAATTCTCAGCTACAACTCACAGGAACACAAGGATAAGCAACGAAGTGTATAGAAAAGGATACTGCTTCAGGAGGCCTGTGCTGCCGCCAGGTGTCAGTCAGTATGGTGCGGAATAAACAAGAGACTCAAGCCGCCAACGACCTTATGTGGAAAGCATGAATAGAAAAATCCTTTTTTGTGGTTTTATAGAGCTGTAAAAGCTATACTCCGAGGCTTACAATCCTCGTCAATGATTCTCAAGTGTCCTCCAGCCACGAATTCACTTACAACAGTTTTTTGTGGTATGGTTCCTTTACAACTGGACGTTTAATTTACATTGGAGGCAGTATTGTTGTTTTCTCAAAATTATTCGTGTCCCCCTCCACTCCACTCGTCCCCTTTCTCAATGCTGGTGTTCAGATTTCCAAGGAATCGGTTGCACAAGCTGGCTGGCGATGACATGATTCTTAGCGGAGATCTGCTGCAGATAATGGTTCCAAAAAAGTGAGAAACCTGGCGCAAACAATCTGTTCAACCAGATCATTTCGGCAAATCCCATGCAATTCAATTCAGGGAACCTCTGCAACATAATCGCTGGCAGGACTAGGTCAGCTCACTGCAAGCTGCGGGTTGCAAAAAGAAAACTATAGAAATAGTCTATAGGAGATTTGAAGGCTACAGTGAGTCACGTTTACGTAGATCTGAAATGCAAGATTCCATCAAGTTTGTCCGCACCTCTGATAGGAACTTCGTCGTAGGACCATTTTCTGCGGATTCGGCAAATTCCGTCCACGGCAATCGCTCTCTGGTGCAGAAGGCAAACGGCATCACTGAAACATTCTATGGTCCCTGAAAGGCTCAAGTGTCGATTCCATGTAGTAGGTTGACTGAAACATTCTCGTACAGTGAGTGGATTGATTCATTGCCTTACTTAAAAGTTCTGAGGGTTTGCAGCCTCCATAATTTTAGAAAAGGTTGTTCAAGAAACCATCAGTAGTAAGGAAAATTGAGCATCTTCCAGCACGTAGGTCACTGCAAAAATTCAAAGACACACCCGCATTAGACCACTGGAGTAATTCTATCGGTGGATCTGTAGGATAAAGCTACTTTCGAAAGTCGCCATGCGCCTAGGGCTTTGTCAGTGCTCCCATTAGGGAGCTATTAGTAGTACTCTACCACCCGCTATGCAGCGCCCGAGTCTCTGTGTTCTCTCGTACAGCATGCTCTTTCGCGTATTCTCGCCTTTCTGTGCGCTGTATTCCTCCGTCGTAACTCATCGGGAATCATAGGTTTTAGCCCGTGCTCTTAGTTTTTTCTGGGGTTTCTTTGGTTCCCTTTTTCAGTTTCGGTCTATGACGCACCTCCACTTTCATAGCTGAGCGCTTTTACACATCAATTTTACCTTGAGACGTGCCTTTGAAATGCAGCAAACTAACAATGGGACGACTTTGAGCAGAATTCAAATGCATGGCGCATTCTGTACCCTTTTCTCTTTTATACGCACTGCTAATTCGAAAAATTAAAAAAAGATAAAAAAGACGAACCTCATTGAAATCGCCAACTCTGGGGATGTGATTCTTTCGTGTTTTGCCGATGATTTTACCTGTTTGAGAAATAATAACTGCCGCATTCCAAATGACATCATCTTTTGACTCGTCTCTTTCCAAAATCGGGTTGATGATCACCATACCATATTTTGCAGCCAACTGGAAGGAAAACCGATTGGATCTGCTGTAATCTTTCAACGTGGTGCAGAAATAGTGAAAGCCCCTAGGAAGATAACTCAATTGGACTATTTCCAACAAAGCCGCTGAAAATTCGAACTGAAAAGCACGGATTTCCGCTAAATTCTTTGAGAAACAGGAGGCACGCAGCCACTTTTTGCAGCCTTCGCACGCACTAATCCATCATCCCCATGTTCTCGTTCACCTATAAGCGATGCGATTTTCTCAGGCATCATAGAACGAGGTAAGGGCACCATGTATCCATGAAAAAAAAACTGCGCATGGCACCTTCTCACTCCCTCTCACATCACGACTGACTTCCAAGTTTCACTGTGAAAAGGATTGGTATGCTATATGTTTAAGCACTTGCCCATTGAATCCGGCAGTATCGTGATTGCAATGCAGACTTAAAGGCAAGAGGTCGGGATTATTTGACCGAACCAACCCTTT